AATTTTACCAAGGTCAAAAGCCAAATAAATGCATAAGGGAAAGCTTATTAATATTTAGGCTTCATTTTGGATGACTTTCTTACTGCTTCCTGAAGCAGATTTCTAGTACAGAATATTTTAGTCTAAAAAATTTTGGTATTAAAAATCTGCTTTAGAAATCAGTTCAAAAGCCGTCACAAAAGGAATGAAATTATTCTGTGCGGATACAAACACTATCTGGAGATGAATCAGAGCGCGTCACGTCACCCCTTTGCTCTATACCGGCTGTGTACCAGGTGATATGGCGTGCTTTGATTCGCCTCTGAATGGTCAGGCGTCCGCACAAAATAATTTCTCCCAAAAGGAAGCCTTAAACTCAAGGTGGTGAAGAATAAAAGAAGAGAAACTATGTGTGGGCCATTGTAGTAGTAGGAAGGTGGCTTGTAATGTCCAATTGATGCACATGGCAAGCCTGGAAAACCAGAAAATATAGTTGGCAGAACAACAATTGAGGAACTCATGCTCACCTTTTTGTGAACTCTTTTTCTTAATCAGTAGAGTGGAGCTGCTATTTTTTGTTCTTTAACTTTTTTGGCTGTGATTCCAAATAAAGAAATCAGTTGTATGGAGGCAAATCTAGCAACATCAATCATTGTGCTCAATTCTACATTGGCAATTAATGGAAGTTGATGGAGTTATCTGATAATTGCATTGATTATCTTTTGACTATGGATTGTTCATTGATCACATTTTTTTTTTTGGGAATTTATTTTGATCACATTTTGAAAACATTTACATGTAAATGTGCTTTGTTAAGTTTTATGTGTGATCACTTTTTTGTTAGTTGGTTAAGAATATATTTATTGAGTTGTTGGATTTTTTATTTGATCGGTAGTTTATTGTTTCGTTTTGGACAGTTTTTTTATTGTTTTTTAAAACAATTTTCTATTACAAAAAATTTTATACTAAAAAACTACTTTGAGAAAAATAAGAGAGCCGTCCCAAATGATGCCTAAAAGTATCGTGAATTTAATTACATTAAATTAATTATCATATTTTAAAATATTGATTGTAAAAGTATAACATACAAATTGGTGCTTGATCTCGTGTCATCATGAGGAAGCCGGAGCTTCCCAACTTTTGTATGTTGGTTGGGGCTGAGAATTGAATCACAATGCGTAATTTTGCATGCATGCAGAGGGTGTTTGTCGATCAATTTGCTTGAACCTTTGACAATGTGGTGAATGGAGAAGCACTTTATCATGAGGGTTGTTGTTGTACTTTATATATGAGTGAATTTTTTCCTTATATTTGTAATTCAAACGCTAAATATGAAAAATGAACCTTAACTAACTTACTCTCAAATTAAGATGAAATGGGCATAAAATGGTTCTTTCATGTGTAATTGGATAGTGATGCTATTCATTTTTCGATCAATTCTATTGAATTTGAATAATTAAGGCTTTCCCTAAGCACACTAAAATTTAGGGATCAAATCAAATTAGCATCCATACATATTATGAAATAATAAAAGAAATTGCTTGGGCTCCCGTCTACTACTGCTCCCATCTGCTAGGGTTTCCGCCTCCCGGTAGCCTGCCGGCTAGGGCTTTCGCACTTTGGCTCCAGGAAGTTCCCTTTTCCCCTGTTATTTCAAGCGGTGTTTAGTCGTTTTTTATTTTGCTTTGGTTTCTTTGTTCTTCCACTCTAGATGGGGGGAATAGGTTGTGCGATCCTGGATTTTTGGTGGGATCATTCAAATCTAGGTCATTTGTTTGGTTTGGTTGGTGGTCGGTTTCATTCCTGGTTGGCTAGTACCTGGTGGAGCTATTTGGTTGAATTGGTTGGAAGTTTTAATTTAGGTTATGGATGTGGGCTGTTTTGGTTGGTAGCCTTTTAGGTTTGTTATTTTCCTTCTCTGGTTGTCGTTTTGCTGGAACTTGGTGTCATTTGGAGGCTGCAATTTATGGTTTACGGGCAATGATGTGGCTAGGGCTCACTTGTCTTAAGCCATGGCTTGTGGCAATCTTTGATGGTGCGATTCTTACTCGTTTCGAATGGATACTCTCTTACTCCAAACTGGATGGCCTGTGCCTGGCTTGGGATTGATTGGAAGCCTCTGCTAATTCCTGAGCCCAATGGGTTTTTTTCCCCTCCCTTTGTATCTCTGTTACTTTCTCTTTCTGCTTTTTAGCTGACTGTAACCCCTTTTTTTGTTGCAATGAAATTTTTGTTTTTAAAAAAATCAAATTAGCATAATGGAAAGAGATTTACTTCAAATTTGAAGAATTGGGGATAATTTCATGCTTATGAATGCATTTATTAGTTTTTGAAATTTTTGTACTTAAACTTGTAGAGCATTTGTTAGAAATAAATTTGAGAATCCTGATGAGTTAGGTTCAAGCGCTCACCCTACTAAAATAAAAAAGAATAAAAAATTATATTTTTTACTAAATAATAATAATAATAAATTTTTTAATCACTGATTTATTCTTAATTATTACTTTGAACTTATGCAAATTCATGTTTAATGTCAATTATCTCTTAAGGTCTTAGATTGGAGCAAAAAATATCCAATAACCAAAAAAAAATTATGTCAAATATTGAAATATATTTTGTATCAAAATAAGACTTTTTATAACATGTGTTCTAAATTTCACATATCATATATTATCCCTAAATAAAGTTCAAAATAAGAGAATATAACTAAATTATTAAATATTAATATGTAAATTATTTGACAAATACAACAAACTTATTATATATTCACAATACTTTTTATATTATTAGTATACTTCTACGTCGAATAATTTATAAATTGAAATAAATTGGTAGTTTAAAAGGTATTTTTAGCTATAAAAAATAAGGTTCTTATTGAACAAAATATTAGCAACAAAAAAAAAAAAAAATTGTTGCTCAGGTTTATCATTTATCACTAACATGTGTCAGGAAGCTTCACACCCACACCAGCGGCCAATATTTTGATAGACATTTCATTAAATTTAGCCATCAACCCCTTTTGGTAGATATGCAATAAAAGTAACTATTAAATCAAAACAGAAATTTTTATTTTTATCCCTCCTTATTAAAAACATAAATATGCCTAGTTTTCCTTTACTTTATAGTAAAAGGAAAAAATTTTGCCTTATTTGAAAAAAGAAAGTAAAATTAAAATTAGTAATGACCTAGCTGTAAATTTGCCTACTAGGGCCTCATTTGGTTATTTCTAAATAAAAAAAACATATTATGATATTGTTGATGTAATTAATTGCTTGGTACAACTTTTTTATTTCTAACAGAGGTCAAAAGCTGTCCAAAACGAAGTCAAGTAACATTCTTTCTGCTTCTTAAAATGATTTTTTAGTACAAAAATAAAAAATTTTATATTAAAAACCCGCTTTAAAAAGTAGTAAGAAAGTCGTCCCAAACGAAGTCTAAAACTTCGTTTGGAATAACTTTTTTATTGTTTTCCAAAGTAACTTTCTAATATAAAAATTTTTTTAACTAAAAAATTTTGTCATATAAAATTACTTTAAAAAGTAATAAAAAAATCTATCACAAACAATACCGAAATAAATATTGAGATTTTTTTGGATTATTATATTGAAAGCTTGAATATTATTGCATGAATTATCATTTTATGAGTTCGAATTCACATCATACTTATCTATTGAAATTCAAACTCATACCAAAATAGGCCAAGTCATCATCATATTATTATATTGTAAGCATTTTTTTCAAGGCAAGAGGTTGTGGCCGACCAATTATGCATTGAAGAGCACAAATTTATTTATTTCTCTTTGATTGCACCACTTGCATTAAATGATTATTTTTTAAAATATCATGAAATTAAAAAAAAAATATATCATATAATAACTTAAGACCTGATGATCTCCCTACTACGACGTGGTTCGTCCATAAAATAATGTTTGCACTTATATCTTATCCATGAATGGAACTTTTTTTTTTTTTTTGATCTTCATATTTAAGCTTTATTCCATCACTCTCCAATAACAAAAAAAATATTATGTACAGTGTTCTTATGAGGGGCAGATCCAGCTTCTTTTTTCAGGATGGGTAAAAAAAAAATTTTTTGTGGGATGGACAAAGATGCTTAGGATTGATTAAATGAGGGCAAAAAAATTTTTTGAGAGGGGGCAAAATACCCAAAATACCCAAAATATTCCAAAATATCCCACTAAAATTAAAAAAAAAAAAATTTTGAGGGGGGGCATTTGCCCCCCCTCAACTTAATGGGGATCCGCCCATGGTTCGGATGTGTCCGTAGGTTAATCCTGACGCGCCACATTAGCTGATATACAGTGTATTGGATGATATGGAGCATCCGAATTGACCTCCGAACTTATTCGGACACTGCACAAAATAATAATTTTCCATGCTTGGCCAAGACTCCACTAGCAAATCATCCTGCTTCTCCAAAAGCTATATTATTTTTGTGAAATCTATTTGTAGAGTGAAGCTGTACTCTTTCATCAAGCACCTACAAGGGAAGCTCATCACAGACGCGGGGAGAGAGAGAGAGAGAGAGAGAGAGAGAGAGAGAGAGAGTCCTGTTTTGCAATCAGGGATTGAAAATTTACAATCTACTTCATATATTTTTTCCATATTATTAACAAATTCAATGACAGGATTGAAACATGCATAATTTGCAAATAGATACTGTTCAAATCAAGAAAAAAACAAATTACAAGAGAACTCATAAGATTCCAATTAACCCATTCATACTTCATTAAAATGACTCACACAAAAAAAAGAGAAAAATGCTCCACTTTTAACATTCTGATTAAGATTTCGTTTGAGATAACTTTCTTATTGCTTTCTGAAACAGAATTTAATATCAAAATTTTTATTTCAAAAAATTTTTATACTAAAAAAATTACTTTATAAAGCAGTAAGAAAGCTGTCCCAAATGAAGTCTGGCTTCATTTGAGACAAATTTCTTACTTCTTTCTAAAGTAGTTTTTTAGTACAATAATTTCTTTCTTATTCAAGAAATTTTTGATTAAAATACTGCTTTGAAAGCAGTAAAAAAAGTTACCCAAAACGAAACCTAAATCCTCACAAAATCAACAAATAAAAGGCTTATGATCAATTTTGAAAAGAGAGGAGCTCTTAGTCTATAAGAGCCGCCAATCATCACAACTCACAAGGTGAAATAACCAAACTGAATGAACAATATTTCAACTTCTGAGTGCTAAATTGTTCGACTCACTTTTCAATCTCCTGATTTCTCTTAAAGTGTGATAAAGTTGAGCATTTTTCTCCAGTAAAAAGTGAGAAATTCTAGCATTTTATTATAATGAGCTGCTGCTCTTCATTTTACCTTCAAACAAGCTTCTGAAGTCAGAGTAAATGGCAATGCAGCTTGAAATCACAGCTATTGTAATCATGATTCCAGCCAACACCTTGTCCTTTCTTTTACATATCCCATGTACATCCCTGTGAAAGATGAACTAAGGCTGATGAAATATAATCAATATGGGAAAACAAGTCTAGTATTTGCAGGTTATTTTAGGATTAGGGCCTGGAGAAAATAGTGTGGAGGCTAGGCATAAAACGCTGTTCGGAGACCAATCAAAATGTATCACATCTGCGGTATTCAGCAATACCGAGTCGTGGTGGCACATTCTGGTTGGTCTCCAGACAGCGTTCTACGTCCGGCCTCTGCACAGAATAATTAGCATAGGCCCTGTGGGTAAAGCTTGTGCTCGAAATCTTCACTCGAGACACCTTTGAAAATCCTGTTAATGCTTTCACATTGTTGAGTTAACTATGAACTCCATGCATCTTGGTGTTCTCTAGATACCAAAATATTTTGGCTAATCAAACTTCCTAATCTTGAACTTCCTTGTCATCAATCTCAGAACTTGGTTCTAATACAAATTTCTTGTAATGAGAGGCTCAAAAAAATAATTTGTGAAACCATCGCCATAATTGAGATCAATATGCTGCTCAACTTCGACCAAACCGATGTCCACATGAGAGAAGGAAGATCAGAACAACATGGTTTTAACACAAGTCCTACCCAATTCGCTAGTACACTCACAGACCAAGAAGAACCTATAAATTTCACAACAAGAAATTATCTCATAATCAAAGTCCTGTTTCTACCAGTAAAGACCAAAGTGTGGTCGATACAACTGTAAGTAGTTGCCCAAACACAACAACAACACCAATAACAATAAACTTTTATCCCACTACAAGGGGTCAACTACATGATTTTTTTTTTTTTCATTATGTATTGTTCAGAATCAAACTCTCATTTAAAATCTAATAAAAAATTAGTTTAATATTTTCTGACCAAGCTTTTTGGGTCTACCTCTACCTTACTTAATATAAGTCAGATCTAATAAATCTACTCCTAACAGGGTCATCAAGAGGCTGACAATTTATGTGACCAAATCATATAAGACGAATCTCTCTAATCTTATTTGCCACTAGAGCGACTCTAATCTTTCCACTTACATACTCATTTTGCATTTTGTCTCTTAAGTGTAAAATTATGATCCATCTAAGCATCATCATATCTGCAACAATTAACTTAATTTTATGATTTTCTTTTAATAGCCAACATTTTGCGCCATAAAGCATTGCATGTCTCACTACCATCTTAGAAATTTCTTAAAGGCAAAATTTTCGAAACAAGCTTATTTTATGTGACATTTAACGGAACGAGCAGGTTTTTTTAAAAATTTAAAAAGCATCTAATGCGCCAGAATGTTTGGCGCATTTATAGAATGCGCCATTATAGTTGGTGCATTCTTTGAATGCGCCATTTGAATTGGCGCATTCTTCAGTTTCACATAGAATGCGCGTTATAATCCGGCGCATTCTTTGAATTTATAATTTTTTGATGTATGCGATTTGATTTCTCCGTATTCAATGCCACACGTTAATGATTGGACTGAAAAACATGACTAGTAGAAGTGAAATTGGAGGTTCGTTTTCTGTGATTTTCAGTGACCATCTTAAATTTTCGTGTCTGCTGCTTGCTTTCTGGGATGTTTGGGATCTCAGTTTGAAACATGCTAATAGATGTCCCAAAATTCTTTATTTTTGAAACTTTATTGTAAAATTTCTAAAAATTATATCATCTTAATACTTAAAACATTTATTTATAGTTATGCCAAAAATAATTTGAATGAATCAAAATAATAAAGGTAGAGGAATTTTTTTTTTAATATATCTATTTATAAGAAAATAGAAATATTCAATGCAATATAAGTTCAATTATAAAGTATATAAAGTTAAATTACACAAAATATAATATAATATAATAAATTTTATAATAGATCTATGCCAAATATACAACTATTTGTGGAGTACCGAAAATTCAGGTGCATTTGTTAGGAAGCGCCGAATTTATTTTTTAGGTAGTGAGAGATGAGAATGATTGGCAAATAATTTTAAATAAATAGATGGAGAAAACTTTTTAAAGTTTTTTTTTGAATGATTTTTTCAATGATTAATTAATTATTATGTGAAATAAAATTTTTTGTATTTTTTCTAAGATTGATTAATTATTATGTGAAATAAAATTTTATCCTTTACACTATCCAAAATTTTATTTTTCAATAATAATTAGGTGTATAGATGAAGATTGAAATATAAATATAAATAAGAAATCAATGTAACATATAATATCATAAGTATTTTATATTTAAATCTAAAATATAACTAGCTAATATTTTTAGAAAATTTGGAATTGAAATAGTGCGAGAAGTCATTAACACAAATTTCGTGAAAATACAGGATAAGTTCAGTAATAAAATGGATGACATATGATAAGAATTGAGAAAAGGTAAACAACTTATTATTACATTTGGCTCAGTACTATGCGCATACGCGCCTGGAGTTGGGTTAGAGTTGGACAGCATGAGAATTTTTCTATGAACTGCTGCTGGATGTATTGCCAATCTTTTATGTTTAAGAACTCCTTTTTACCATCTATAATATTCAGCTCTTGATATTTTTCTGATAGAAATGCATCTTGATATGTATGCCAACTTTTATAAAGGATACAATGTTGCACATCGGTTATTGGATTCTCAACATTAACCACAACAGAACCATCTTTTTTCTGTGTGATTTCATTAATTCTTGTCCTAAGAATACTTATAGGAGCAAAATGACCATTATGTTTCCTAAACCTTTGTCGTACAAATTTTCAGTCCATATCAGTAATTGTTTCTCCATCCACATACATGGGATAACGACTTTTAATAACTTCATGATATGTATCACATAAACTATCGTCTTCATACCAAAACCATTCATGTAAACAACATCGAAAAATTTCATTTGATCTTGCTTTCTCCTCCAAGAATTCATCCATAGGGTACGACATTGATTCTGTCAATCGAATTATTTCATAGATCAACTTCTTTCTTAGAATAATATGAAGGAAATCCCTAGATGGTGAGCGCTTTATTGATGAGGTCCTTGATGATGATGATGACATTATGTGCTAAAATTTTAGCAAATGCAAAATGAGTTATTATTTATGCAAATAATACAAGTATTTTTGTAAAGGCTAATTTTAATTAAAGTAAATAAAACAACTAATTTAGATACTTAGCACCATAATCTTATACATCAAATAATAATATTTTCATTCATTTTAGTACACATCATTGTCATTTCCTAAGCAAATGTCGTACACGAGCTTGAAGTTGTGTTTGTGTTGAACAACATTTGAAGTGGTACATAAATCCGTGTTGCAGGTGGTTCCAATCTTCGTCATCTAAAAATTTTTTCTCCTTTCCATCCTGAGAACATTGCATTAGCATTTTGTAGTTATCTAAGAGCCATTTATCTGCTTTAGGGCACCAATGATGATATAGAATACAGTGTTCCATATCAAGCATTGATATTCCATCCCCGGCTCAACTATACCGTCTTTATCACAACCCAGTTCTCGAATACGATCCTTCAGAAAATTTAATGATACTAGGTGGCCATTCATAGTGCAAAATCTATCTTGTAGTAATTTCCAACCACTCGCTCGAAGTTCATAGCCAGACCTATATTGCCCTAATTTCATAATATCATCATTTTCATGCCACAGGACAACATCCTCGTCTTCCCCCCAGGTATGTAGAAGACATCTAAAAATTTCATTTGTTGTTGTTTTTGCTTCCAGGATCTCATCTGTGTTGTAAGCCAAACTTTCATGTATACGGGTACTTCCTTCTTCTATTAGTTGGTGTGTTGGTGCGCCTCTCATTATTTCATTGACCTCAGAGTATATTTTGTAATAATAAACTTCTTCTTCCTTCACATGTGGATTCCTATGAAGCATGGAGCGAAATATGTTGTGAAAAAACGTATTGAATACTATATTTTGCGTAGTGACTATAAATAAGAGAGCATAAATAAGAGGTATTAAGTTGTCTTACAGATCTTCGAATATTCACATACACATGAAATAGTAAGCATAAGTAAGAAAAAATTTTATTACAGATCATCTATCGATGACGAGGAAGAGCCCTACTACCATGAGTATATCTATCTGGAGCTCTTCTTCTGCGTCATTGTAGCTGTTGCTCTTCCTCAATAAATTCCTCATCTTGTGGTGGAAGTACAGGTTGATGTTGCCTCACATCAGTATATTGTTATGATGTTTGTCAGTACAGGTTGATGTTGCGGGCTTATTTCGCATTCATCCTCGGAGGTTGCCTCACATCAGTATATTGTTATGATGTTTATCCTCCCATTAATAATATATCTTGCTGCGAGGGGGAGATTGTAATATCAGTTCTGCTCCAGGTTTGTCCGGGACGAAGTTGGATCGTCCGGGACGATCGGTACAGGTTTGTTCAGAATTGTGAAAATTGGGCAGTTCGTCCGGGACGAAATGTGGGATCGTCTGGACGAAAATTTTCCAGAGCCCAAGTCGTCCTGAGACGATAATTAATTTCGTCTGGACGAGAATTTTCCAGAGCCCAGATCGTACCGGGACGAAGTGCGATCGTCCAGGACGATCTGAGTATTTTAAAGAGGAAAAGAGATATTTTGAAGAGAGAAAAAAATAAAATATCAGAAATTCCATCCGTGAGAAGAGGAAAAAGGAAAAGTTGATTTCGGGAAGAAGCGGGTCCGTTTTCGTTCGTCGAGACTGTTGAGGATTTTGCTGTACGCAAGGTAAGGCACAATCCGACTTTCTCAATTTTCAGAACCGTCGCTGTTGGCGGTATTTTCTGTCCGAAGATCGTTTTTGTTAGCGATTTTCGTCCGTATTTTCCGACTGGTTTAGTTTTTACCGTGTAACTTTCTGTATGTTGTTGACGTGCCGGGTGTGCACATTTTGAATATATTTTGGAGATTTTTGTCCGGACCGTTTTGATTTGGCGACGTCTTCTTCCGTCTATACTTTTCTGTGTAAAGATTAAATGTTGTGGCAGTAGAATAAATGTTCTGAAATGTTGTTATCTATATTC